TTACTTGATTTGTATTCAAAAGTGATTCCTTTCAGACATAACTGAAATCATATGAAAGCATATCTTATAGAATATAAGAAGTTATGAATCCTTTTATCAGAAGTTTTCGGATTTAAAATTCATATTTGTCTCAACTATTCATGTTTTTGTCATCATTTCACACAACATTCAATGCATTGCATAAGCATTTTGAGGTTTAGAGGTGTTCACCATCACATCTAAAGTGATTTACCCTGCTCACTTAGGCAATGTTAAATTTCATTCAATTTAGTTGATAGTATTTCTAAAGTTTGATATGATTATGCAGTTTATAAGTAAAATAAATTTAATAACTATTCTAGAATAATTTGCCAATCATAGATAAATAAACTCTAAATAAATTCATTTTAAAACTGCAGTATTGATTTACAAATACCTGTACAGTACAGTCTGTACTATACGGTAGAATTATAATTTGAGAACACATACAGTATGAAACATTAATTAAATAAAATTGTATTTTTATTCATTTTAAATATTTGGTTCTTTCCTCAAATAAGGAAAATCCTTTAATATTACTGTAAATACAATATTAGTTTACGAAAAATTGTTTAATACTTAAATTATTTAAGTTAAATAGACGATACAATAAATGTGACATTCACTGGCATTACTGTACTGATTGTAATTTACAGCATACAGTATGTAATCAGACTAATATTAGTTTACGAAAAATTGTTTAATACTTAAATTATTTAAGTTAAATAGACGATCAAATAAATGTTACATTCACTGGCATTACTGTACTGATTGTAATTTACAGCATACAGTATGTAATCAGACAATAGGCAGTAGATATTAAAAATTATCGTCAAATGAATGAATACTAAATAATGAAGTTGTCATCAGTTGCTGTGTTAACCATTATTAGCGATTCCATCGCTATTATCAGTAAATAATAGATAAATTGTTCACAAATTAGTATTCATTCAAAATATATTCAATCCTTCGATAGCTGTCGATGGGATCTATCCTTCTCTCGAATCTGTTTCTCGATTTCAAATTGTCTTAAGTCTGATCTCTGAAGGAAAGCCTGCTTTTCGATGAACGTGTCTTTGCTTCGGTTGTGTTGATTGAGTTCGTCTTCAATGCCTTCATTCTTCTTATAGTTATTCCAATCCATAAAACTCTTCTGCAATGTATTGATCTTTGGTTTCTTGAGCTGATCTAAGAGTCCTCCCAATCCTCCCGATCTCTTCACGCCTTTAACGGCCACTCCGTTGTCATTGCCTTTAATACTATTGTCTACACTCTTATCACTATTCACTGCAGGTTTACAAGAGTTGGTCTCAACCTCTTCAGTCACTTTCACCTCTTGTCCGGCGAAGTCATACACTCTGGTTATCGTCTGTTTGGTCGATACGCCGGCGCTTTCAGTCGTCGTCTCATTGTTTGCACTACTATTTGATTGGCTCTTGTCTTCAGATTTGGGTAAATCAGCACAAAATTGGTCCCAAAGAGTGTCCGCCTTTTGTTTGAACGCCTCTTCACTCAACACCTCTTTCTGTGGCACCTCTTCGTCAGTCGTGTCCTTATGTTTGCTTCGTTTGCGTCCGTCGTCTGCATTGTCTTCCTCTTCAGAATCGGAACAACTGTTGTCTGAAATGAAGACAATATTAATTGCAATCAAAACCAAATGGCGACCGAAGAGTGGATGACTAACCGCTGACCACCTCTTTGTCCGGATTGTAGTCCACGTCTTCATTGTCTTCATCCGAGTCGTCGTCATTGGTTCCCAACAAATGGTTTGTCAACTCTTCTGACATTTTGTGATTTCAGTTCAATTCAGTGTTCAATGAAATGCTAAATAAATATTAAATTAATTGTTGACTGAATTGAATGCAAAGACAATGAAATGAATGAAAATAAATGTGTTTTCAATGCAATGGAAATCAAAACGTTTTGTTTGAATCATATCAGAGACATTTCCCAATTATATGGTTCACAAAATAAGTGCACAAAAGCATTGAATGTGTGCCCCTTTAGGTTGTTTACGACAAAAATGTTCATATATTTCATACGACAAACCCGTCACATATTACAAACATTAGACTCCATCCGCACAAACAATCACTGCATATGTGAACGAGTATTGAGTGCAACATATGATTGAATGGAAAATATATCGTGAATTTGACGATACGTTGAGAAAACCCCAGACTTTAGTGTCAAAGCATTTCCTCATCAATTGTTTTGTACTTTTATTTTCATTCAATCAGTTATTAGCAGTCTATTTTGCAATTCATTTCAATCTGACCCTGGTCGTGTTGCAATCTATCGGATCACTCATTCTGATTATCGGACACCAAAAGTGACGTCTTCTCGCATTTGATGACATTCACAGCAAAGTAAGTGTCGTTTGAATTGCTATTTGTTTACCATTTTTCACATCAAAAATAAAAACAAAATTTTTTAATGGATTTTGTAATGAAAAACAAAAAGCATTTAAAAGACTATTATTACTATTACTGTGTTTGCGGTTACAGTGTATTGAATGCCTAGTAATTGATGAATGATTGCAGGCGTGAGTGATGGGCAACACGAACACGACCTCCTCGTCCAAGAGGGACCGGACCTATTCGGTGGACAGCGCTTACGACAGACGGGAGTCCAGTAGTCCGCGATCTGAAGACAACCGCACCTTCGAGTTCGTGGCCGGCGGTCGCAAAAAGCCTGTCCTCTGCTATCAGTCTTCCTCTGAATACGGCAACGAAGACTCCACTGAAGACTACAAGGTTTGCAGCGCTACTCGAACTATAGGTGTTGATTGATTGGCTTAATTGGTGTTGATTTGAATGTAGGGCCGATTGAGGGCCACCACTATCAGCGAGGGCACCACTATTAATGAGAATGCATTGCCAACGGTCTTCAAATGGGAAGGTATGACACGTTTGCATGTTTGGTGACCAGAGTGTGCATCCCATGGCACAGGACTATCGGGTGCACAGCTCTGGTGATGAATAGTGTTGTAATTATGAGTGATTGTGAGGACAGGTGGAGGCAAAGAGGTGTTCATTACCGGCACTTTCAGCGAATGGAAACCAATAAAGATGTGTCACTCTCACGGAGACTTCGTTGCCATCATTGATGTGCCCGAAGTATTACACATATTGTGAGGACAGGTGGAGGCAAAGAGGTGTTCATTACCGGCACTTTCAGCGAATGGAAACCAATAAAGATGTGTCACTCTCACGGAGACTTCGTTGCCATCATTGATGTGCCCGAAGTATTACACACACAAGTGATTGGTTGCCATCTCTGTGCTAATGTCTTGCTATGATATCTCATAGGGAACGCATAACTATAAGTTTGTGGTCGACGGACAAGAAGTAGTTGACGACAACGTCTCTGTGGACGAGGAGAAGCGAAATAATGTGATTAACATTAAAAAGGGAGACTTCGAGGTGTTTGAAGCACTGGCTATGGATTTGGCCTCAAATACTAATAACACTAACAATAATAACAATTCATCTTCTGGTTCACCGCCTGGTAATGATCCTATCATATGATTATTACTGACAATGCAATAGATTTGATATATTGTGACCATTATATTCAGGTTCTTATACCCAAGACATGCCCTCATCTGTGAGGCAAAGCCATGAGTTTGGAAACAGTGTACAGCCGTCGCACGTATCGTCTGCGGGACCGCCGATACTTCCGCCGCACTTATTGCAAGTGATCCTAAATAACCCAAACGTCAACTTCTATGAGCCAACACTCCTGCCTCAACCCAATCACGTTATGCTAAACCATTTGTACGCCCTTTCCATTAAGGTATTCAACAATGAATTTATTGTTTAAAATATTATTGCATTTATTTACAAAAGTATTAATCATTTGGTTTGACTATAGGATGGGGTAATGGTTTTGAGTGCAACCCATCGGTATCGCAAGAAATATGTGACAACTTTGCTCTATAAACCCATTTAATTATATTTGGTTTCAAACTTATTTACTCCGTTTTCTCGTCATTTGTTTTGTCAACACATTACTCAACGTTTGGACTAATCTTTTGTTTGATTGTTGCCATCATTGGAGTGGTCAGCGGACAGTCGACCGGTGATGTCATTCATGTTCTTCAGAGATCTCTCTGTCTGTGCGATAGTGAACCGACTTCTGGATAAACTGATGCGACAGTTAAACCAATAGATTAGGACTATTCCGGCGAACGAAAAGACCGCAACATTAGTGGCTTTCCCCACACGACCTGTCGGTGCGATTAATAAACAGTTCTTAGAGTCAGACGTATTGTCAGTATTTGGAAAATCAATTTTCGCCAAATTATTATTAAAGTCTCGATTATATATATCATACATATTGTAAATATGAATATGTTTTTATGTTAATCACGATTACTTTTAACACTATAAGCGAATGAAACAAATTATGAAATATTATTATTTGAGAAAATCAACGAAAAGTTTATTTTATACTAAATTGTAAAAAAATTATTTTATTTTTTAGAGAAAAGA